CTTTACACAAACAGGTCTGAAAAACAATTTTTTCGGATTTTTAAGTCCCTTTTCTGCATGGGATTTAAGCAATTTGCCTCCATGTGATAAGGCCCATAGTTTGTCTCCGTGGTCTCCAGAGTCCTAGTTGTTGCTGTGTGCCTTCAAGTCGTTTCTGACTTATGGCAACCCTAAGGCAAACCTATTAAGGAGTTTTGTTGGCAAGTTTCTTCAGAGGAAGGTTGCCATTGCCTTCCTCTACAGCTGAGAGAGTGTGACTTGCCCAGTGGATTTACATGGCCAAGCTAGGATTCGAACCATGGTCTCCAGAGTCATAGTATGTATATGGCACCTGATGTAACAGTACAGAGAATTATCTTCAGAAATTCAGCGTTCTCTGTCTTTAAAAGGAGCCGTTAGCTTCACAAAGGACAGGGACACCTGGATCACAAGAGCTGTTACTTTGCTGCTGCTAATAGAGTTTACATTTTATTAAGTGACTTTTATTGCTCTTTGTCTCTAGTCTGCACACGGCTAATAAAGGGATTGGCCTCTCCCTGCATCAAAATCTCTTAATGCCATCTTAACTGACAACATCTCAGACAGAACAAAGGCCTGTGACTCTGAACATCACAATTTTTCTCCGGTGTGACTTTTCAAAAAACGTCTGGATGCTTATCTCAGGGGTGCTTTGATTGTGTATTCCTGCATGGCAGGGGGGTTGGATTGGATGGCCCTTGGAGTCTCTTCCAACTCTAGGATTCTATGATCTTTACCTGATGAAGAAGCCACTGAACCTTTGAAGCTTGCGTGATATATTTTATGCTTTGGACTTGGCAAAGGTACGGTATCACAGTGGATTTTGTATTTTGTAGTGGTTGCTATGTGCCTTCAAGTCGTTTCCGACTTATGCTGACCCTAAGGTGAAAGGTTTTCTTAGCAAGTTTTGTTCAGTGAAGGTTTGCCTTTGCAGGTGAGAGTATAACATGTCCAAGGTTACCCAGTGGGCTTCCATAGCCAAGCTGGGATTCGAATCCTGGTCTCCAGAGCTGTAGTCCAACACTCTGTGTGTGTTAAAGCACACACAAGGGCTTTAACATTGCACCAAATGTTGCAGAAATACTAAGGCAGAAGGATCCTACATTGGCACTTCACACGATGCATGGTACTTTGGGGACAGGGCATAGGCATCCAATTTATATATACGTAATACGTATTGTTGCTAAAATTATAAATTGAGTTTTCAAGTACAGTTGTGTTTGCAAGATGCCATTATAGTAGGTCCCATTGGACCTGGAAAAAGGTACACAGGGACACCCAAAGATGACCTGTACCTATACCTGTTGTTGTTGTGTGCCTTCGAGACAATTCTGCCTTACAACAATCCTTAGGCTTGTAGTCCCAAAGAGGGGTGTGTGTGTATACTGTATATATAAGCTAAAGGGTCACCTTAGGGTCCTCATAAGTCAGAAATGACTTCAAGGCACACAGCAACTACCGGTACTACAAAATCCAAAAGCCACAAAATTGCATTTCTTGGCATGTTTTTCAGAGGGGGTTTGCAATTGCCATCCTCTGGGGCTGAGAGAGAGCTACTTGCCTAAGGTCACCCAGTAGGTTTTCCTGGCTGTGCCGGCACTCGAACACAGGCCTCCTGGGTCATAGTCCAAGACGCAAACCACTACACCACGCTGCCTCCCCTGTGTGACGAACTGAAAAAGGAACAGGAACGAAAAATGGGAAGCCTTGTGCATGCATGGACTGGCAAGAGTGAGCAACTGGGGAGATACAGGGAGAGAATAAGGGCACACCCTTCGAACCCAAGGCTTCAAAAAACACAGGAAGGGGATTTCTTGAAACTGTTCATGGAGTTGGATTAACCACTGAGCTGCACAATTTAAAAAAAAAATCCCAAAATGTCTTGGACTAAAACTCCCTGGATGCCCCAGTTAGTATGGAGAATTTTTGGAGGAGTCATGTGGCATAGTGGTTTGAATGTTGGACTATGTCTCTGGGGATCCCGGTTTGAATGCCGGCTTGGCCAGAGAAACCCACTGGGTGACCTTGGGCAAGTCACACTCTCTCAGCCTCGGAGGATGGGAGTGGCAAGCCCCCTCTGAGGAAATTTGCCAAGAAAACCCCACAAGTTGGAAATGACCTGAAGCCATACAACAACAGTGCTTCTGACTCCACGACTTTAGGAGCTGAGCTGTGATCTGTTACCTCCTCCTCATACCATTTTATCTGGGCATACTCTCATCTGCAACCAGTGCGGATGCAGGAGAGACTAGTACAAACTGGTGCCCAGCAGTCTGGAAGAGAGGCCAAAGGCCTGACTATTTGCAGATTTTTTTTCTTTCTTTCTCATTAATATCATTATTTGTCTATTTACCTTTCACATTCATTGTCAAATTGTTTTGAAAGAAAATAATGCTACAGGAAAGTGTTTCACTCTGTGGGTATCCATGGCTGAGCAGGGATTCGAACCCTGTTCTCCAGTCCAACACTCAAATCACTACATCACACTGGCTTTCTATGGCACCATTTAAGCAGAGGCTGGATGGCCATCTGTCAGGGATGCTTTGATTGGGAGTTCCTGCATGGCAGGGGGTTGGACTGGATGGCCCTTGGGGTCTCTTCCAACTCTAGGATTCTATGATTCATAGCGAACTCTAGTTCGGAAGGAGGCAATAGTAAACCCCTCCTGAAGCCTTTTACCTTGAAAACCAAACGGGATCATAGAGTTAGAAGAGACCACAAAGGCCATCCAGTCCAACCCCCCTGCCATGCAGGAAATCACAATCAAAGCATCCCTGACAGATGGCCAGATAATCCCAAATTCAACAACAGTGTGAAGCCCAGGTCAGAGGGAACTCAACCATCTCCTGGAGAAAAACAGTGGACAAGGACAAGCAGCACCTGGACTCAAACTGAAAGGATGTTCAGCTGATGACAAGCTTAGAAGTGAAAGAAAAGTCCAAAGCTGAACATTGGACATCGTTTTGTTGGTGGTGTGTGCCTTCAAGTCATTTCCGACTTATGGTGACCCTAAGGTGAGTGTATCATGGGGTTTCCTTGGCAGGTTTGTTTAGAGGTGGTTTGCCACTGCCTTACCCTGAGGCTGAGAGTATGCGACTTGCCCAAGCTTACCCAGTGGGTTTCATGGCTGAGCTGGGAATCGCACCCTGATCTCTAGAGACATAGTCCCGCATTCAAATCACTATGCCAGACTGGCCCTCTAATATATATAGTAGGAACATGGAATGTAAGAAACTTGAATTAGGGAAACTAAATTGGACTACAACGCTCGAGACCAGGGTTCGATTCCCTGCTTGGCCGTGAAACCCACTGGGTGGCCTTGGGCAAGTCACATGCTCTCAGCCTCAGTGGAAGGCAATGCCAAACCTCCTCTGAACAAATTATGCCAAGAATACCCCGTACCTAAGAGTCACCATAAATCAGAAATGACGTGAAGGCACACAAGAAGAAATACTACAGGTAAATTGATTCAGTCGTCCACTGGAGCCGACCTTGAGTTGTAACACCTGGGTCTCTCATTCATAGGGAACTTAATAATAATAATAATAATAATAATAATAATAATAATAATAATAAAATTTATTTATATCCCGCCCCTTTGAGATCAATCGGGGTGGTTACCAACAGTAAAATATAGCATACAGCAATAAAATCTAGTTCCCTCCCCCCTTAAAAAGTTATTAAATCAGTTACAAATTAAAACATATAATATAAAATACAACAATAATGTTTAAAAACAATTCCACAGCTTTTAAAATGTCCTGGTTTCCCTCTCCTCTTTCCGCTTTCTCCCTTTGTCCTCAGCTTAATTCAGTTGCTGCAAACTGAGTACAAAGTGCAACAATTCCAAAAAAGAAAAAAGAAAAGAAAAGAAAAAAAAAACTTCATAAAGCTGAAGTCAGCTTGACAGCACATAACAATAACTGTAACAACAATTGACTACCCATTGTGGTGATGTGGTCTGAGATCTGAATAACTAACAAGGTTGCTCCAGTGGGTTTCCATGGCTAACCAAAGATTCGAACCTGGTGTCTGGGAGACTCAAGTTCAAATCCCTGTTCAGCCCTGGAAACAGGGTGGCCTTGGGCGCATCACACACTCACATACAAAAGCCACGATATGGGGAACCTCCTCTTAAATCTGGCCAAGAAAACCATAGGATAGGGTTGCCGTCAGTTGGGATCAATGGGAAGACACGTCACAACAACCTGAAACACCAGCACTCCATTCCAGAATGAAAAGATGCACCTTCACC